TCATATCTCGGCATCCAACTACCCGCCTCAATTAATACAATACCCCAAGTTAATCATATCCCACTTCTGCAAAAATTAGACACCCAGCTTAAACAATGGGAAGGCACATCATGGCTGGGACGCATCAATACGGTGAAGATGATGACCTTAGCGAACATCTTATACCTCTTCAGAACCCTGCTTATACAGATCCCGAACACATTACTAAAAAGATTCCAATCCACTATAAATGCACACATATGGAGGAGGAAGTCCCCCCGCGTCTCCCAAAACCTTCTCTGGAGACCCTTTTCGAAAGGAGGCCTGAGCGTACCCAACATACAGCTATACTACCGAGCCTCAATAATGGCACAGGGCATAACGATACTGGAACGAGCAACACCTCCCATATGGCTGGCGCTGGAAAACACCTGTCTGACACAGGGAACAGTGGAAGAAGCACTTTGGGCTAGCTTCAACCGTCTACCAATACATCCCGCTATGTTACCTCCTACGGAACTAATGCTCCGTACCTGGTCACAGGCAGTCCAAAAAATAGGAGCAAACAGAGACCTCTTGTATACAGCTCCCCTACAGACGCTAACACTCCACACGACAGATATGTGCCTAGATACATGGACCCGCCAAGGCATCTCCCATGTAAATACATTATTCGATACTGCTGGCTTAATACCCTTTCAATTACCGGCCGGTGGTCCACGTTCGTTTGCCGAACATGTTGCGGTCGCCATTTTAAAGTCGTTGAACGCTCAGCGGTAGATCCTCTGGAACTATTTTCGGATACTTATTCAGCCGCACACCGCTGACGCGTACCATGTTCCCCTTCATACGGCTAATAACTTTTCTACTATACATGATAGACCGACCCCAGGTAGCTGCAGTTACTCTTTTCGGATTCAATTTCCCGAACAACCGGTGAATTTAATCTTTACTCAATGATATTGAGAACTGTGTTCGTGGGATCTGAGTGCTTTTCGGCTATATTGTGCGCTCAGATCCAAGCTATCTGGGGGTATGTGGAACCTAGAGTCTACGTTCAGCGAAATATAAGTTATGGATTTTAATACTGTTTTGTTGAAATATAAAAAGGACATGTTTTTCTCTACCTGGAGATAATTAGGTTCTCTTCAACCACTTAAGTTAATTATCTCCAGGATAGAGAGGAGGGGTTGCACTGTTACTGTGGGTGTGTTTAATCATTGTACTGTAAACTGATTGGTTCTGTATATTTTGTCACAGTCTTCCACAAGGTCCCATGTGGGAGTTCCCTTGCTGAGAGACCATCATAAAAGGGCTAAGTTTGGCCATCAATAAATCAGATCGTTTTACCCTTTCATGAAGTCTCGACTCATGTTTGGGGGAATTGGGAGTTATAATCACTACTTTGTTACTATTCTGCTGGGAATTCGGGAGAAGCTGCAAGGATCGGCACTACAGAGTTAATAGGATCCTTTACAGTAGGTTATACTGAACGTATCCAAAAAGTATTCCTAATGGATTGCCAGAAGGTAAAGACTAGGGAGAGCAAAGTCAGTCTTATTTTAGACTGCAGTCATTTGTAAAGACTTCACAATCTGACAGCCTGGTCAACTCCTGATACTAAAGTACACTGGGAACCACCTCAATGGGACAGTCCAGTACCGGAGAACATTGTCATTGTAGGTCACCAGACCATGCCAAACCTAAACAATTGTCTTGGCTTTACTTTGTAAGTGAAGATTTAGGAAGCAGGTTGTCCATGTCTGATGCAGACACACTAATGGCTGATGAACCCAATGCAGGTCAGGCAGATCCAGGCACAGCAGCTACCAGGGAAAATCTGGCTCGACTTTGATGCCACAATATCACGGTCCTTCCTCTGTTTCTTTTTATCTCAATATCTGCCCAGCGTGCGTTATCGAAGGAAGAGACAGCTTGATGAATGGACTGTCTCCAAGTCTCGCTATCTGAGGTTAGAGCAGACCAGTGACAATGGTCAATGTGACAGGCATGAAGTGGCAAATGACCTGCACAATTCTTGCCTGCTGTCTCACTCATGCACTGTGCCAATAGATTTCCCAATACAACTCCTGTTTTATTCCAGGGAAGAATGGTGTGAGGATGCAGTCCTTCTCCCCTAGCCAACACTCCCATACTAGTGGCCTGGGGTCTATTACCCACCACCACCACCACCACCACCACCACCCCCAACACCCCTTCCTTGCCAGTTCCTAATACCAGTATGTGAATCTATACTAATACAAAAAAATTCTTTAATTGTTGACTTGATTTGTGTTCATTTAAAGTAAATTTTTTAATTTATATTTGTTTCGTATTTTCTGGCAGAAACAAACCCAGCTTAACTACAGAACTGTAACTGTAATAATATAATAATTTGTTGCAATTAAACAGTTATTTTTTACCCAGGTTTTCATGTATCTAACCACACGTGTGGTTTATGTGTCGTGTGCATGTTTTAATCCAGTAAATGAAACGTGACACTGTCATTGAACCTATGTAATGAGTGCAAAACAATCACAAGTTTGCTGATATAATTTAACCGATTGCACAATAAGGACATGGAAAATACATTAACATTTATTAAGGAAGAAACTAGCCCTCTCTTCCAACCTGGCTTCATCTGACACTGAGCTGATTGGATGAGGACATAGATTGTAATGTAAAGGGAGGGGAAGACACCACCCACAGATCTGGTGTCATACACTATAAATACTGTCCTCTTTTGTGCTGTGATCAATCCTTCTCTGACTCTGAGTAGAGTTCTTGCTTCAACAGTGTTTGAACGGAGCCCTCTCTGAGTCTTCAGCTCTTTTTAAAAAAATCCTCTTCTATTATTACTTATTTTTTCGAATCTTTTTGCGCCACCAATCCACCAAAACACCGAAATGGCATCCCAGGTGCGTCAGAACTTCAGCAGCGACTGCGAAGCTGCCATCAACCGCATGGTCAACTTGGAGCTGTATGCATCCTATGTGTACCTCTCCATGGTGAGTATACAGCAGCTCAGTACACTTTGCTGGATGTCTTTTTCTTACAAACGTAATACTTATTGTCTTAATTTTGTGCATGTCATATGGTACACATCAGGCAACTAGAGGGTTAAATGATGCTCAGTTTACCTACTTCAATCCTGGCAAATATTAAAACTTGATTGGATTGATTGGTCAATATATTACGGGTAGTAATCAAAATCGTCAAAGTTTAAAACAGTAAAACCAAACTTAAAAATCTATCACATATCATTTTACAGTGGAGAAGTGCAGTATTCTTTAACTAGAGTGAGGTTGTGCAATAGATTTACGGCTTATCCCCTGACTTAATTTGGACTACAACTTCCATCAGTCGCAGCCAGGCATTGCTTCATGAGCGCAGGTGCATCTCCTAATACAAATATTACCCTAATAAGAATATTAAATGTGTCTGTTATTGTTTAGCTTTTTATCATCCTGATAACTGTAGCACTGAAACATGAACATAAATATTACCCTAATCAGAAGAACCTGCTAAACCTAAGGGCAATGTTAAAAAAAAAAAAAAAATGGGTCTGTAATACTGCAGTATTCTGATGAATTCAAAGCAGTGACATAAGGGTGTTGCTCAAATGATTTAAATAATTTTGAATTGATATTTTTAGTGGGTACCAATAAAAAATGTTAATATATTCATTTTATTCATATTAAACGTGTCTAATATGGCTTGGTCATAAATTGTTTTGATTTTTATTATCTCAAAAACCTGAGCCATTAAACGTGTTAGAATATCACCTATAAATATTTTGTCCTTAAGGTTATAATTCCTGTTGAATAGGAAAAGCCTCTCCTCCAGTATTTTTTGCGTAGCACACAGACATATTTTAAAATTAAATTTTCTACCAATTTCTAGTTCATTATCAGGACCTTGCACAGTTGTGCTTATCTTATCACCAAATACATTACTTTGTACTTGGGCCCAGATAGAAGGGGTAAATGCAGAACAGCCTGGTGGTAAACATTTGTGACAAAGTCTGAACTTGATGGACCCTAGTCTCTTTTCAGCCTACATGTAACCATGTAACAAAATTGAAAACTGGATTGCAAAGTTTTGACGAAACAGATCCAAGTTGTCGTTATAGCCGAGTTCGAAGATAATTCCAAATCAGCTATTTTGCTTTTTTGTTATACCTTGGCGTTTACGGTATTATGCTGTGGTCCTTGTGTTCTTTTATAAAGACATTTGATGCCATATGATTTAGAGGGTAGCAGGTTTTTATTTTTTTTTAAACATTGATTTACATATATCCTCCTTTATAAATTGTATATTTAATTAAAACCTTCCTGCAGTTTAGTAAACATTTCTGTTGCCAGGCAATCAAACAGGCAAAACATTCTACAAAAAAAATGAGGAAGAATGACTCCTCTGTGTGTGTGTAAACAAGGAAGAGTGTATTTCTGGATATGAGTTTCTGCGCACATACTGTTTGTTAGGCATGTGTGTTTGTATAGCATGAGTATTCAGTAATCTTATGTTGAGGTCCTGGGGGTTTATTTACTAACCAGTGAGCTCTAGTGAAGCTACTACTGCCTCTCTGAATGAAGACCAATAGCACCGTCTGCTAATTTATTCTGTATTTTTAAAAATTGGATGTCAAGTGACCATAACTTACTGTTTCATAGAACGCTTGGAGTCTTCTATCCTCTATCAGAATTAGATTGCCCCCTCTTGCTTGTTCTGTATTATAATACAGGTATTATGTCTAACATCCTGTTTCCATCCTATTCTCTTCCAGTCCTATTACTTTGACCGTGATGATGTTGCCCTTGAACATGTGGCCAAGGAATTCAAAGAGCGCAGCCATGAGGAACGGGAGCACGCTGAGAAGTTTCTGAAATATCAGAACAAGCGTGGTGGTCGTATTGTCCTTCAGAATGTGAAGGTGTGTACAAGGTGTAGTCTTGCTAACATCTGAATTTCTGTCCTGTACTAAGTACAAATTGTGTAATTCCAGTGGATGCATTGGGGGGAAAAAAACCTAGTCAAATATGTTTTGTACTCTTTTTGATGATATTCAAATAATGCTTTGGCTGGCACAAACCTCTATAATGTGCTCTCTCTCAGTCCTTGTGAATTAATGAAGATGAATGACAGAAATTGTCCTATTGTGATTCTATGTAGGGGACTGGCAAAAATATCTGCTCACTTGTGATTAGGTACTGAGATACAGCATGGCGATACTCCATCGGGTAGCTGCTACAAGTGCACTGGGGACATTATTATTGTTAGAGTAGTATGGAATCCTCTGAAGTTTTCTTTGCTAGGGAATGAGTGATGAAACATATTTTATATATATATAAATAAATATAAAGAGAGAGAGAGAGAGAGAGAGTGAGAGTTAGTACTATGCTACTAGCTAGACCTTAAAAGTCAATCATTAAGGCAAGTAATTATACTCTTTGAGAATAAATAGTTATATAATAATAATAATAATAATTATATATATATATATATATATATATCTCAATGTATTTGTAGTTTCCTTCAACAATTTTAAGAATCTCCTTTTCCCACCAGAAACCAGAGCGTGATGAATGGGGTAACACCCTGGACGCCATGCAGGCAGCGCTGGATCTGGAGAAGACTGTGAACCAGGCTCTCCTGGACCTGCACAAGCTGGCAACTGACAAGAATGACCCTCATGTAAGTGTTAAACATTTTTGCTTGCAGCGTCGCTTTTATCGACCTTTTTAAAAATAAATGGTATTAAGTCCAACATATTCTTTCTCACTTTTTTATTTTATGGTTCTCTTTCTAAATGTAATTTTTCTCTATTGTCTTATAGCTCCAAGACTTCCTAGAGTCAGAATACCTGGAAGAACAAGTGAAGGATATTAAGAAGCTTGGAGACTACATCACCAACTTGAAACGCCTTGGGGTGCCACAGAACGGCATGGGCGAGTACCTGTTCGACAAGTACACCCTGGGAGAGAGCAGCTAAGATCTCCAAAGGAAAACCAAGCCAGCAATCGTAATCACCTTTTTATTATCTGAATGGAATAAATGAAATTATCTACTATCAATCCCTATACAGGGTTCTTGGGTTCAAAATCCTGCATTTGCTGCTGTGCTTGTCAACGTGTTTCAATAAAAGTTTTTTTCAGCATTCCAAATTTTAGATGTGTTTATTAATTTGAAGGTCAAAAATAAATAAATATCCTAATAGTTGTACAGGCATATTGTGTACGTGCATCGCATCCCAGGTGAATAAGATGAATATAAATATTAATAGTAACCTTGTTCAATATATAATACATTTTTTGCATCAGAACACAGTGTTCTTTAACATTTGGATTAGGGGAAATGTTTGGATCACTTGTAAATGCCCTAGTTATTTTTGGTTGATGTGTATTCTTCCCTATTTGGATTTGTACCTATGTATTTCCTACTAAAACAAATAGTTTGACATACAGATTATATGTATTTTAAAATATACTCAAAGGGTAACATCTGCTTACAATAAGGAGGCAAATTAAATATCCGCTCATTATTTAGCAGTTCTTATTGTAGCTTTGAATAATATTTTTGGTTAAGCTTTTCAAATGATTAAATAATTGTGGATTACCATGCCAAATGCTTTTTAAGAAAATATATTAAAATATCAAAAATATATTACAGATAAAAAATATATCATATATATAAAAAATCTATATATAATTTTTAAAGTTTATTAAAAACGTATAAATCATTTGCTTATTAAAAAAAATTTGCATTGAGACCTTAACCCACAATGCCATACAAAATATACAAATAAGAGCAATCATCACTGTGATTATTTTAGATTTTCTACCCAAATGTACATCACTTTAACAGAGACTTCCTCCTTACTTCTTTTCTAGCAATAAGCAACTGTTTTGACTATTTGGGAGATGTACACAATAAAGATATATACAACACAGATGATAAATAACATGTGAAGGATGGTGTAGCGGAGAGGTAGTATCCACAGTATCTCTGCTGGGTAACAGGAACAGCATGCAATAAACCTGGTAGCGTTGTAGAAATCCTTCTTTCCCAAGAACTAGACGACACATAGGCTGGGAGTCAAATGAGCTTTTAATCACAGGTCACAGTATTTATGGAGTTCCCCATGTAAGGGGTTTCCCTACTGACATTACAGGGGCTGTACAGTAGGGGACTACATGGGGAATTTAACAACCCGGACATTTCTCCCATCATACACTGCTGCACGAGAGGGATACTCCCACTAGAATATCCAGTTAAGTGGATTATCCCTCTGTGCAGCAGAACCGGCATTTTACTTAAAAATACATAACTTTGGCATTATTTACCTTATTTAAACGAATGAACGTTTGGTAGATAGCTGGGGTCTGAGCGCACATTTCGTGCAATTACCGTTCAGATCCCAGCATAACTAACCGAACACCGCACGAATCACATGTTATTTTACATTCGCATTCAAAGTGCTAATTGTCCATAGGGGAACAAACTACAGAATGCCCGGTGCTCCCGAACGGCCTGGAAGTCCAGTGGTATTCGTGCCATCGGGTAGCCAATTTTAGTTCCAGGCGCTCGACGACCAAATACCGCTGGGCTAACAAAGGATCCAAGATGGCCGACCACTGCGTGGTCGGTAGCTGAACGGCGGCCACCCTGAATCTTTATAATTACGGAATGAAAAATTGTTGCAACACTTAATGGGAGCCACACGACCTCCTGTGTGTGGGCTCCCATTCGGTAGCTAATTCGTTTCATGAACAAGGGTGAAATTCCCTGTTCGTGAAACCGCTGTATGAATGCTGGTGGCTTTCTTGCCGCCAGCATACGAATGCTCTCGTTCGCACAACACGCTTATACAGATATTCCCTTGGTTCTTACAGTCTTTTAAAGGTATAGTAACAGGCACATGAAAATACATTCTTAAGTGGCTTGTTTTGCTACAGATGGCAAATAGGACTGGGACCAAATGAACTGTGTTCAGGTGCAAACAATTAAATTGGTTAACCACTGGTTAATTTAGGGGTCCTGGGGACACAATGTCTTTTAACTTCAGGGTGTCCAAGAATGTCCCTATAATCCACATGATTATGTAATATTATTGGATAAGTTTTCCCAATGATTAAATATTGTTGGATACACTTTTATAATTATTTGATATTAAATATCAGTATCTAAAAAAAATGTTATGTTATATGTTTTTATGAAATTTTAAATATGTTGAAAAAATTATTTTAAAAGTTTATTGAAAAATATTTAATCATTTGAAAAGCTTATCCAAAAATATTAAATCAAGGTTCATAGGTCCTTTAAGAATTAATGAACACAGTCACCTTCCTGATTTTGTTACAACAATTATTGCATAAAAATAGATGTTGAAATTCTTTTTTTTTTTTTTGTACTTTAATTCCGGTTTCCTATAACTGTGATGATAAAACCCACAAAAAAGCAAAACAGGAAATGTGAGGCTAGCAATAAGTAACGAAAATATGACAAAAGAACACACTAGTCTTTGAAAATCATTTTAGCTGAATATAATAGGTGCTTCATAGCATTCAAAATATAGATGATCAGAAATTGAATGATTTGCAAATTAATTTGATAGTTTAGTTATCTAAAATGATTTCATATATGTGTGTACGTATTTTATATCAAATTTACCAACAATGTCAAATCGGACAGGAATCACAATTTTGGGCCCATATCCAAGGGTTTTTCTTTGGTGTTTACTTTCCAAAGAAATAAATAGGTTTTAACAGTTTAGGAACTAATGTAGTGAGAGCCCTGGTGCAAAATTTGTTTTAGGCCACCTTCAAAAGCAAGGGTGGCAAAAGTTAGATCCACATGAGACATACAACTGCAACAATGCTATAGCAGCTAGGGATCTACCATTAGCTCATGTATTTGTAAGCAGGGTTTGTGCGTTTTAATGTAATCATGTTTTTGTCAGGAGTATGTGTGTTTGCATGTAGGGGTGTATTTTTATTTTTATATATAGTTTTGCCTTTTGAATGCAGTAATGTACTTCTCTGTAATGCTTGTGTGTGTTTGAATGCAGCGTTGTGTGTGTATGTATTGTTAGCTTTTAAATGCAGGTGTGCTTTTGTGTCTAGTGTTGGTGTTTTAATGAAAAGGTGTCTGTATATACAGGTGGTCCTCACTTTATGACCTACCTGTTTTACGACGGCTCGCACTTACGACCAGCTCTTTAGTGTGGGGGTTCAAGGGATTCCCCACGTTAAGAGCTGGTCTGTTTTCGGGGAATTTTCCCCAAACATAGATGAGAGGGATTCCCTGCCTGGTCTATGTTCGAGGAATTTTCCCCGAACATAGAAAATACACCAGAGCAGGAAATCCCTCTAATCTATGGTCAGGGAACATTCCCCAAACACAGATTTGAGGGATTCCCTGCTCTGCTGCGCTTGTCTATGTTCGTGGAAATTTCCCCCGAACATAGATCTGCACGCATCCTTACTTACCAACCAATTTGTTTTACGACCAGGTCGTAAAAACAGAACCCGGTCGGTAAGTGAGGAGTATCTGTATATATAATTGGCATTTTAATACAGGGGTATGTTTGTTATGTTTCCATTTAAATGCAGAGGTGTTTTTGTATGTAGTGTTGGTTTTTAAATGCATCTGTACATTTGTGTGTAGTATTGGTGTTTGAATGAAGGGATGTGCCTGTATATCATTTTGAAGTTTGACTGCAGGGGTGTGTTTATATGTAATGTTTGTGTTTGATTGCAAGGATGTTTGCACATACCCTGCCACATACAAACATATTTACACAGATACACATTGACACATACATGCATATTTACACATCCTCTGACTATAGCCCGTTTTCCCCACTATAGCCCCTGTCACCCCACTATAACCACTATCTACCCACAATAGTGCCATTTCCCTTGCTATAGCCTTATCCCCTCACTATAGCTACTATCCTCCTCAATACTATCCTCCCCTTATAGAACCTATCCATCACACCATAGCCACTAATCTCCCCACAAAGGCTTCTATCCCCCCAGCCATAGCCCCTATCCACTACATATATAGGGTGTATTGAGGATACTGACATTGGGGCAGCAAATAGAGTAAATCCAGCCCTGGGGGCAGTCCTGATTTTTAGGGCCTGTCCTACCTTAGTTCCCTGCTGTCCCACTTTTGGGGACACCAGCAAACTATCCCCAACAAACACACTGACACATAAATACACAGATACACACATGTGTTATAACTGTTACATTCTCACCCTCCTGTTAACAAACCTTTTATGCGCAGGTTGGTGCTTTCTCAGAGTCCTGTAGTCAGAGGCTGACAATAGCCTGGGGCTAGCCAGAGTTGGGTCTCTCCTTGTTCCCCTCCTTCTGTAGTGGCTCCTCTCTCCTGCGCGGTGCTCTGTGTGTAGCTGGGAGAAAGTGACTGGCACTAGGCTAATTCAGGCATTCCATTAATAGTAGTAAGAAATAGAGAACCAGAATAGCACATTAAAAGTCAATTTACAGCAAAAATAGGAGTAAGAGCAAAGATGCAAAATGTGGTGTTTCAAGTCTCAATTTATATAACCATGTGTAAAAAAAAAAAATACAAATAAATCTGCACTACAAGCTTTCTTTACATAGTAACTGGATTTCACATAAATAACATATGAAGGATGGCAATTAGGACTGGGACCAAATGAACTGTGTTCAGGTGCAAACAATTAAATTGGTTAACCACTGGTTAATTTAGGGGTCCTGGGGACACAATGTTTTTTAACTTCAGGGTGTCTACCTACCCGAGACTGTCCCTATAATCTATACAGGGCGCCACAATCACCAGATAAATAAACGAAAAAGATGAAGATAATATTGTTTATTTAATAATGTGCACCAACAATGTGCAAATAGTAAAAAATATATTCACATAAAAAGCCTCAATAGGCTGAAAGACCCATAGGTATAGCAGCTCTTATATAACATGAAAAAGTGCTAAATGCTA